AGGTGAATTTCTTACTGAGCCAAATGAGGCACATACCGAGTCAGTAGTTGGAGTCCAGGGCATTCAGTACTTTTTATGACTTCCTAAGTGTGTAGTGCCTACCCCATGCAGTATAGTCACTGTCGTCAAATCCAGAACTCGCATGAGCCAGCGATATTTTATTTGTAGACAATCAGTTTTAATCTATAAATTATTACTGACAAATGATTATAATTCTGAATCCATAACACTAATAAAAAGAAACCCAGAGCATCATAAAGAGGTTTTGTTTTGTTCCTGGAAGTAGAGCAGCAATAGTACATGGTTATGTTAGTCTCAAGATACTTAACTTGCTGACCTTATTTCAGAAAAAATAATTTGTATGAATTCTATTTGTGGGAAGATAAAATAATGGTTTGAGATTTTTATCAAATATGGAGATTAGTTATTTATGAAAACAAAGAAATGTCTATTTTTGTTTCTTTGTTCCCAATTAATGTAGATAACTTTTAAATGCATTAAAGCAATGGTAAAGAAAATAAACAGATGCCCTTGAAGTCTCTTTCTCATTTATGGAGAGACTCTCTGCTTTCTAAGATGGTCTGAGGAGTGGATTCTAACTTTGTAATCTGGTTTTTCAGATGTTCTTAAAATATAAACATCAAAGTCTAATAAGTAAAAATTGAAGCAAATTCCAGTCACCAGAAGCAGAATGAATTAAAGCATGTTTTACTGGAATATACTTTGTTTCTCCTGCCCATCCTGTGATTGTTCAATTATTCATTTGAAGAAATGAAGGGAGCTCCATGGAAAAACAGAGATATTGCCTGTGTTCTGTTTTATAAACACTCTGTCTACACACTGAACCTATTTGGAGAGAGATGATGCAATACTGTATGTATTTGGTTAGGGGACGACTCCCAAAATTGCTTATCATTCAGTAATTGGATTCACTACTAGGTATTGAGCTCTAAATTCATCAGGGAGCCTGGAGGAGAAGATAGAAATTGATTTAGCGTCCATACTTACCTGTCACCTAAGCACAGATGTTTAGTGAGCCTGAATACTATCGCCAGTGCATCTTCTACTGATTGCTGCTTTGGCAAAAAGGAAAATTAGCCACCGATGTTCCAAATACCACTTCATTTTAATGCCTGGTATGTGAGTGTTCTCTAGCAATGTTTGGAGGCAATGTGAGAAAATGTGTGGGAAAACAAAGGTAATTAAGGGTTTAAAATGTCAAGGGAGACAACAAATCCATTTAGAGGTGGGAATAACAACATGAAAGTATTTAATTCAATGTCAATGGACATTGAGTGCTATGGACTTTTATTAGATTGGTACATAAGTTAGGACAGGGGGGGTTTCGGGGAGGGATATAACAGGTACGCATGATGCTGACAGAAAAGCAGTTACAGGTACTTAAGTGTACAGGACTAGCTGGCTCATCTCTCCCTTGCTTTCTCCTGGCTCATTTTTAGCCAACTGAAAAGGGAGAGAGGGGTACTCACAAGCTGGAGCAGAGACTTTAGAAAAAGTTGGAGAAGAGGTGAGCCCAGGATAATATCATAATGCTTCTATTAGTGATTTATTTACAGAGCTCTTCAGTTTGACGATGGAAACAGGGTTGAAAGGCAGAATGGTTATGAGCCTAGGCTGGGGAGTCAGACAACTGAAGGTTCAAATCCCAGCTCCACTACTAATGGGTTGTGATTCTGAATTTTATCTCATAGTATTTTTTTCTCATCTGTGAAAAGGGGGAAATAGTGGCAATTGTATCTTAGGGTTCAGAAGACTTAAAGGATTAAACCAGGTTAAAGCAAGGTTAAGGTAGTAAAGCTAGGAGGCAGAAGATGTTCAGGCATGGAATGGAAAGGGAGTTGAGGGGATGTTTTCAAATTTGAGTCTGCATAAGAATCACTTGCGGTTCCTGTGAAAAATGTTAATTCCCAAGCCTCAGCCCCAGGAATTGAGATTTAGTAGCTCTGGGACCAAAGAAGCTCCCCCTTCCCCCCCAAAAAAACTTTTAATTTTGGAATTTTTTGCAAATCTAAAGTTATCCAAGATTTTTAAAAGTTGCAAACGTTACTCATCATCATCGTATATTTTTACAGGATGTTATAGTTGTAACACTTGTTACAACTAAGAAGTCAGTGTTGGCACATTACAGTGACCTCCAGGCATCAGATTTTCTACCAATGTTCCTATCTGTGCAGAACCCAATCCAGGATACCACTGCATTTATTGAAGATTCATGTTTCACAGGCACTTTTGGCTGATGAGGCAGGTGGTTTGCAGATCAAATCTTGAGAAGATCTGGGACACTAAAAGGACTGAACAAAATCAAATCGCCCCATCCCCTAGCTGAGGAGTTGAATGCAATTTTAAAGCAGAAGGGGGTGGAGTTTTGGAAATGGAATCCTCTCCATTAGTTCCCTTAAAAACAAGATGTCTAATGCCAGTTGAAATACCAGATTTTGGAAGGTGGCAGATACTACACCTAGTCTTCAGTCTAGATCAAAGATATATGCTTAAGGATGTGAGCAGCTCAGGGGAATTGCTAAGAACGAGTTAGAGATAGCTGCTTTGGGGAAAACAGGACTCAGGTGAACAAAGAGACTAGGGGGCATGTATGCCATATAAAAGCTTTATTTTCTTGAACCTGGTGCTAATACTTTGGAAGTCACAGTAAACAATATCAAGCATTGCCAGGTTGGAGGCTAGCTGAAGGTCACAGGGTGAAGCTAGAATGGACTGCTTGTGGGAGGGTCCCAAAGGGCTGAAGCAGCAGGTGAGTGAACACCTTTAGAGGAATCAGCTCTCACACTGAGCTACATACAAGAGACACCATCTTGGGATTGCAGGTAAAGGATTGCATTGAGAAGATGAAGCAGTAGATTGTAAGACAAATTTCTGTGTCCTTTGAGGTATTTACAGAAGATACTACTTATATCTTACTAAGGACCTTAGGGTCTGGGACTATCACACCAAATCTTCCTAATCTCATTGAAATTGCTTAGTCCTTAAAAAACAGTTAAAATAACCACCCATCCTTTTACCCCACTGGATTCCAGATTCCTCTTAATTTCTGATTTCACTTTCCTGAGGTGCAGGAAGAACAAATAAAGCACAAACTGGTATTCTTAAACTTTATCTCACGGCTAAGGATGCATTTTCCACTTGCCAAACCCATATAGAATAGTTCAGTGAAAACTGCCTTAGAAACCAAATGTATTGCCCCTTGTACTAGGGAAAGGAGACTTACTGAAGAGCTCCTGGATCTTTTGTATTGTTTGCTGGCAGTGTTAGGCCTTCAAGGTTAAGTGTCTGGCTGTTAGAATTATGATGATCTAATGATAGACTGCTTGACAATCTACAGATTTTGCATGCAAACAAGCAGTAACTTGGGTTATTTTTCTGCCAGCTGTTAAGTACTTTTCCAAGTAGTACTATTCTCAAGAATGGGTGAGGAAACAATTTACTGTCATCTTAAACATGGTTAAAGAGAAGATTTTAGCTTGCTTGTGTGCAAACTAGTTTCCAATAAGACTAAATTGTTTTCTAGTTAATATATTTTTTTAAGATTTCCTTTTTAGTTGTAGATGGACACAATACCAATCTTTGTTTTTTTTAATGTGGTACTGAGGATCAAACCCAGTGCCTCACACATGCTGAGCCACAACCCCAGCCCCATATATCTGCTTTTTTTAAACCAAAAAAATACTGCATTTAGAGCTATAGGAAACTAAACCAAGAAGTCAAACTGATATAAAATCAGGATTCAATGCTATTGGGTTTCAGTAATATATGGGCATATTGGGAGGTAAATAGGAAATATGAAAATAAAAAGCTTGGATGGAATCTGATATGTGAAAAAAAAATTTTAAATATATTTTTAGTTGTCCATAGACCTTTATTTATATGCAGTGCTGAGACTCGAACCCAGTGCCTCACACATGCTGGGCAAGCGCTCTACCGCTGAGCTACAATTACAGCTCTGATTTGTGAAATTTTTTAACCAGAAATACCTAGACTCAAGTTGTGGTGTCAGGATGAACCACATAAAATTACTCACAGGCAATTACTTTTTGACCTGCAAAAATGGCAGTTTCACTGGGTTTAAATATGTATTTCAAATTTGTTTTTTCCTTGTCATGAAAGTTCACAATACACCAATTAAAATTTGAGGTCTATATTACAATCTTAAAAATGAAGCCAAAAAAACCCCACCCCAAACCCCCAAATGAAAATGAAGTTGAATCCAGGTTTTATCTTTCCTAGGTATAGAATCCTAAGAAAACTGCAGTTACCACCTTACTAGCAATTTGGTTTCTATGCCTCAAAACAATGGCTGCCCTGCCTTCTAGAGGTAAGGCCAATTGGAGGATCAACTTTTAGTGAAACTACTTATTCTGCCAGTTGTTTCTTAAGTCAGACTCATGTCCACTGTACCTCTACCAAATCTTTTATCTTATGTGTCAGCATTTCTGCTTAGTGAGTGATGTTACAGGATGTAAATTATACTAGTTTATGATAGGTGTTTTTCCCTTCTAAATTAAATCAGATCATTTATCCTAATCAGCAATGTATCAAGAACAAAGTGATCATTTAAAGACTCAACCTTAGGTACCAATAGTACCTCATGTTCTAAATCTACATTATGCCTTTCTTTTCTCTTGGCATGTGTTCCCTAATTTTTTCTTTTAATCTGCTTTTCCCTCTCAGGGAGAATAACAACTATTCAAAGATGCCATCTAATGCACTATCCCACTAACTACTGTGGCCAGTGATTTTTAAGCATAATAAACTGCTTTCAAGTGGAAGAGAACCTAAGCACAATAAATGAATTGCTATAGCTTCAGCAGAGGCATAGGTCATATCAGTTTCAATCGTCAGTTTAAAAGCCTATTAGGACAGATGTAAACATTTAAGATCTGGAAAGATGTGATACTGTGAGAACAGAGAAGTGTTACAAACACAGTGACCATATTTTAATTAAAATAGAGTTTTATTAGCTTTTCTTTTAATATAAACATGAGAAATAAAAACCACATAAGTTGTAGCATTCTTTTCAAAATAAAACTGCAATCAATACTTGAATCTCCAAGCTCTGAACTCCATAAACAATTTTTTTTTCTTGAGGTGGTAGATTGTAATATTTCAAATACCATTATTTATCACTTATGTCTGTCCTTTAAAAATGATGGAACCTGCAGCACTCAGTATAACGTGAAGCATTGCTATATTGAGAAAGAGTATTCCTGGCTCATAAGTGCAAGATTCCTAGGATTACTTTTAAGTAGAGAAATGGATTTCACATAGTTTAGAACACTAATCGTTTTATATTTCAAATTTAGGTGACATTGTTATCAACCTCTTATATTTACTCCTTGCCTGAAGTAAGGGTTCCTAAGGTTCGTGTAAGTTCTCTCTTATATATAGCAGGACTTGAAATGAGATACCTACAACCAGGTTAACACTTAGGATTAAAAATAAAAATGAATAAGAACTTTCATATCACCTGCTATTAGGGTCCAATTTCTTTTCATTTATTACATGTGAATTAACACTCCTCTTTCATAATCTTCCTTTACCAAATCTATAGAAAAGAAATTTAGGTGATCAAAGCAGATACAACACAATCCTGCATAAAACTACTTTAAAAAGAGGAGGGTACCTTTTTTAAATTTTTTAACCTTTATTATTTATCTCCACAAATTTCAGTGCAATTTTAAGCTTTGACACCTGTAGAAGTATAAATTCTACAAACTTCAGAACATCATTTGAAAGTTAAATTACATTTCTCTTAAACTTAATTTTGCAAAAATATTGAGCTTTCAATTTTTTTGTTCCAGTCAATGTTTGCCATCTTCAAGAGGGACCGCTAACAAAAAATTGAAGAGCTCAACATTCCAAATTTATGAAATTAAGTTTAAAAGAAATGTAATTAAACTTTCAAATGATGTTTTGAAAGAGTTTGTAGTTTTTACACTTTTACGGCAGGACATAGTCACCAAAACTTAAAATTGCAATAAAACCTTCAGGACACCTGGTCTTTATCTGCTCAGTTATCATTGGACCACCATGTTGGCGCATTATGAAAATATCTTTTTAATACATTTACTTAATAAGAGGAAAATTATCAGAAAGTAAGAAGCACCATTAATAGTTCACACACAAAAAAAAAATGCAGTGTGGACCCAACAGAAGTAGGTAGTCAATAGGTGATACGTTCTCTTTATGACCCCAAACATGCCAAAATGCTAATAAGTAGTGCCTGCAAAATACATGAATGGCAAGTGTTATCCAGTAGCTTTTTGGTTTAAACTGATTGCCAATAATGACTAGCAGCTTCAATGATATGATACAGTGGGAAGGAAGAACCTTCAATACCTAAAAATGCTACAGGTTGCTCCTAAGTGGCTTCATGAGTGTTAAGTGGGCTGGGGGTGGGCCAGTGCATTTTTAGCACATGCTAGGCCCTGGCTTTGAGCCCCAGCACCACAAAAAAAAAAAATTAAAAATAAGAGTACCATGTTTTAATGGTAATACTGCATCAATTCTGAAGGCATATGCAGCAATGGAGAAGGGGAAGAAAAACAGAAAAAACAAAAAGTTATATGGTTAGTGTCTTTAAAAGTCTAAACATTTAAATGATTAATTAAAAAACCTCACATAGTTCACAGCTATTGGCCTACACAGTAAGCAAATATCTGCATGTGGGTTGAGAGCTTTTGCTTTGGAGTGGTTTTTGTTAACTCTGTTTACATTAAAAAGGACAAAAAGTGTGTTTGTTGCTTTGACAAGGTCCCATTCTTTCCTATGGAGTGCAACTGTCATTGTCCATGAGTCTCTTGAATTCGAGGTCTTTCCTTCTGATGAAAATACTAAAACTTTGCTGGTTTTTGAGCAGGAGTGATGATATTTCATCCAGTCTTTGTAGATGAGAGGCTTATGATGTTATTACCCCTCAATTCTCCCTTTTAAGAGAGGATAGCATTAGAGCGCTGAATACCAATGAAATTATCAGCGCTGAAAGACCTTCTCATAGCAGCTCTACATAAGTCTTTGTATTTGTCTTCACACAATCTTGAAATGGCCTAGGAAAGTCAATTAGAACACAAGTAGAATTTTTAAAAAGATTCCAACCTTAAAGGAAAAACACAACTGATGTTAAGCCACACATGCAGACTCCTTTAGATAACTTCATAGTTGTAGCTACCTTGGCTATAAGGCTTTATAGCACAAGATTCTGGATGTGCTACTTCCTATAAATTATTCTAAGGGCCAGGCCAGGAGAACTTTATTATTATTTAACAATTGAGTTTCCAAAGATGTCAAAGATGCTATGAAAGTCTCCTAACGGCAGGATCATCTATTACCTCTGTGAAACAATCGGTATTTATTCAGTTTTCAAATTCTACACAATCTTCATTAGTTATTATATATTCTAAGCAAATTACAATGAGGCAGAATATAATAAGAGGGTAGAAAAGGTGCTACTTCGCTTGCACATTAATTATGGTAGAAAAACATAATTCTAAGATATCACCCAAATTATCACAAAAGGTGCCATTTTAAAGTTATGTGTCACTTTCGTGGTGAATGATTTTTGGTGTAAAGTCAACAAATATTACTTTAAGTTACCACCCCACTTAAGTTATCACCTCTATTAGAATCCTGTTTACTTCCTACATCCAATATTTGAAACACCACACCCCACTCCCTGAACTATAGGCCTCTTAGCAGAGCTACTAACTCTAGTAAACTCATGGAATTGAACTGTGATTAATATAAACACTGACATAAATTTGCAAACTGAGTAATGACAACTGAGTCACAAGTGAACCATAATATGTAAATATAATCAGGGACACAACTGACAAGTGCAAGGAATTACCTGTGCATGGTAATGTAGAAGGGAAGAGGTTCAAAAGGAAAAGCAAAGAACAGATTTTCTTTAAAAATATTCTGGATTATGGTCATAGAGGAGATAATGCCTAATTTTTAAAAAGTAATGTGGATCCTGGCATAAACCATGGAGGACACATGAAACATGATACCAGAGTTAATAAACTCTTCAAAATGTGTTAATTTAAAAGTTTACCATTTTCCTAATCATTACTTAATATGATTTAGTCCTAGATACTGGCTTTGGTGGCTGACAGAAAGCCCCACTTAGCGGAAACACAGGCTTACCTCTAGGTTTTGTGCTCTTTCTTTGCTGAGAGGAGCAAACAGAAAATTCAGGTTGTTGTCATCGGCTAAGGAGCGAAGGTCAAAGTAGTATTTGGCATAAACACTGGCAGGAACATTAATATTAAACTGGAGTAGCTCCAAGAAATGCCTTTCCATCTCATTCCTGGAGGAGGAGGAACAAAACAAAACCAAAACCAACACAGAACAATTTTAGTCAACTGGACTATCTTCAAAAATGTCATTCTGAGCTTCTAGGATAGCTCTAAATTCTGTTTTGAAACAAATAAAGGCTACTCAGCTGGATTAATACACTAACGTTCAAACAAGGTACAGCTATTTGTAGTCCTTTCGGCATCCCAGCACTTTGAGTTTGGGCTGAGGGGAAAAGGTTACGGCCCTCTCATGCACTCGTGCTGCTGACTCGGGGACTCATTCTTCAGAGTTCCATTAGTGCAGCTGTACGATTCATACTCCACGCTCACTCACAAGGCCCCACTATAGTGAGCAGATGAAAGGAATGATGTATGCTGTTTATTAGCTCTGAAGAACTTGCAGACATTTTCACCGAGCTGATAACAGGAAGGGGCTTATTGAAGTAGAGAAGCACCAACAAAAGAAGTGGGCACATCACCACGGCAACAAATGGATCCATCGAGAGCCACTGCTATTATCTCTGAGGGGGAAAAACTCTTGAGGCAACAAGGATTCATCTCAAATAAATAAATAAATAAGCTACATTGGATGGGAAAGGAAATCCACCCCTCCTTACCTCAGTGCATGAGGCTATGTCAAAGGGCATAATGCACATTTCTGCTCACCTTAATATTACTAAGGTGACAAACAGTCACTATGATAGTCAAGATACTCATTTTAAAACTTTGGAAGGCACGAAGATCAAAGTAGATGCCAAGAGTAGACGAAACCCACTTTAGGATATGACCTCTGGCAGAACAGTGGACTTGTAAACTGTGTTTTGAGAATGAAATCCAAAGATGCTCAGCACCTGCCAGCTCTTGCCAGAGTGGAATGTACACACATGAGGACAAGTTTAATACAGTGGGAAGGAGAAGGGTTGAGAGCAGTCCTCTGCTATATGACCATATAGCTGCCCCTGCTGAAGGTTTAAATCACTAAACATAAACACAGAGGAAATCCTACATTCTAACAGTTTTAATTGCATAAAATAATAAATACTTGAACAGACATGAGAGGTTCAATTTATACAATTGAGTTTCCTGGTTTTAAATTTTTAATATTTTATCCACTGGCCACATCAGAAAATGTGTGATGTTCTCCTGTGTGGAGAGCAGGTAGACTATAAACAGAGACATGATTTTCTCAATTGTTGAAATTAAAACCAAACTGAACCGACTTCCAAAATTAATTTCCTGTTCGTATGGCAATAAGTCCATAGAAATGTAAATCAGATAATGTTTTGATAATCAGCTAATCAGGACTTAATTTACTACAGGAATAAATGCACTTCACTATCCCTTTTATATTTTCTCCACTAATACATTTTAACTGTGCAGAAATACAGTACTTCATGGGATTAACATGTCTATTAATAGAGGTTTTAATCACTGAAGAAAAGCATTATGCATCTTTCTAGGTTTTTTGTTTTTTTTTAAATGGCTGAATAGCATACCATTTACAGGCACAGCAAATTTTCTGAATAGCAGCTGGTCAATTTAACTTATTCTTTTGAAAGCAAGTATATTTTAACAAAACACACAGATGGTAGAAAGTTTTAAAAATTTGAGACACTGATTTTTAACTTTCTCATTGCAGACTTAAAAATGAGACCATTCGAAACAGTCAACAGCAGGGGGATGAGACAAATGTATATTAAATACTTTGTTGTAATGCCTTCTAGTTTCCAAAGATCATAAACAAAAACAGCCTGGCAGGAACATGGCTCCTGGTGTTTCTCTGGTCACACAGAAAAGGCGTTGGAAGAACTGATGTTGCAGCTAGCCCCTGCTGCCATCACTGCTCCTGGTGCTCCCCATCTGTGGAAACTGACACATTTCCCTGCATCTTCTCTGATCTTATCACTAGACCCAGAGCCCCAGCCAGTTTAGTTGCAAGTTTTGAGTATATTTCAGCTGCCATTCAGGCAGGATTGGTGTTCATGCGTACAAATTTTGCTTCCTTCAAGGAATCAGTCTGCAAACTGATGACAATATAGTGATCAAAGGCACTTTAGCTTCTTCAACTTCCAAAAATACTTCCCTTTGTTTCAGGTTCTTTTATTGTCATATCCTCTGCTAAGATAGTACCAGCAATATCATCAGGACTACTCAGCTTGCACTATTATCAAAGTAGTATTTTCACCAACAGCCACTTCAACCACTCCTAAAAACCACTGGTCCCTTCTCAGTCACAAGTGTCATCACTCAGCAGTATATATAGTTTAGTAATTTTGAGGGACAGTCTAGGTAGGCCAAAGGTAACAAATATGAACTCCTGTCATAATCTTGATCTTCCTATGATGCTCAATATAACCAGTGATGCTGCTTTTCATTTTCCTAAATGCCACCCACAAAGACATTTTTCCTTTGAGAGTCTGCTGGAAATCTCTCTATTGTTCATCCTGCCTACCACCTACAGGGCCCTAACCTTCAGTCAGCGTGGCCAGATTAGAAGCCCTTGTTTCACTGGTGTTTCTGTGCCATGCGTGAGGAGCCCCATGACTCAGCAACACTCCCTGCACTGTTACCTCATTCTCACAAACTGCTACTGTGGCTCTGACTGGCTGTCAGTGTGATAAGCACTGAATGATGCCCTAGTAATGCTTTTAGGTCTGCCTGATGGGAATCCTAGAGCTTCCTAGCCCATGAGAACAATTTCTTTCTTTTCTTTTTTTTGGTACTAGGGATTGAACTCAGGGGCACTCAACCACTGAGCCACATCCCCAGCCCTATTTTGTATTTTATTTAGTAACAGGGTCTCACTGAGTTGCTTAGTGCCTTATTTTTGCTGAGGCTGGCTTTGAACTCACGATCCTCTTGTCTCAGCTTTCAGAGCCACAGGAATTACAAGCATGCACCACCAAGTTTGGTTCATGAGACCAATATCTAAACACATGCAACACTCCTAATGAAGAGGAAGCAAGAGCACAAGGATCTAAAATCTTATTTTTGTATCTCATTGTTTCTGTAACAGATTTTCAGATAAAGGTGGGGCACAAAAGCTAATATATAATGTGTGACTCAGGTTGAAGATATAACCTGTCAACAGTCCAGAGGCTACTTATTTCAAAAATCAAGACTTGCACCCCTTTAAAAAGCACTTGAGGCTGGGGATGTGGCTCAAGCGGTAGCTGCATGCTTGCAGCCTGGGTTCGATCCTCAGCACCACATACAAAGATGTTGTGTCCGCCGAAAACTAAAAAAAATTAATATTAAAATTTCTCTCTCTTAAAAAAAAAAAAGCACTTGAAAGACAGTTTTTAAAAAGCCATGTAAGCATGGCACTATGGCGCATGCCTGTAATCCCAGTAGCTTGGTGGGGGCAGAGGCATGAGGATCACGAGTTCAAAGCCAGCCTCAGCAAAAACAAGGCACTAAGCAACTCAATGAGACCCTGTCTCTAAATAAAATACAAAATAGGGCTGGAGATATGGCTCATTGGTTGAGTGCCCCTAAGTTCAATCACCGGTACCATACCCTATGCCACCCCCCGAAAAAAGCCATGTAATTTTATAATGTTCCATGTTCTGGAAGTAAACTTATAACATGTTTGCCAAAAACCACTAGAAAAATACTTTTCAACATCAATACAATAACACATAAGGACCTACCAATTAATGATAGAAACTTATGTATTTTTATGCCTACTTCCAGTATTTTCAAAAGGTAACGTCTAAAAAAATTTCTTAAAATGTAAACTTCATGGGAGCAAATGAGATACTAGAAACTGAGTAAGATTCACCAAAACCTTACAAACTCACATGTCCTCAACTGTAATGTCCTTGAGGATTTGGCAGTAGTCCACATTCCATACAGCCTGATCGTCCCAAACCTTGGAGGCAAGAAGAATGGCTCCCAAAACGATTCTTTTCCAGTTGGTGGGACAAATGTCGATCTCAGCATAAGTTAAAAGCCTTTCTAAGTAGACCTGCAAAAGTAGAGCACTAGTCTTTGATTTTAGTTCAGTTTAAGTGTTCTGTTAAGAAGTTGTGGATGACAAATTTCCTCTGTGTTTGACAAGAAAGTACCTTTTTTTTTTAAAGAATTTTTAAATATTTATTTGTTTTTTAGTTTTTCGGCAGACACAACATCTTTGTTTATATGTGGTGCTGAGGATCGAACCCGGGCTGCACGCATGCCAGGCGAGCACGCTACCGCTTGAGCCACATCCCCAGCCCAGTACCTTTTCTTTTTGAGTTCTACAGAGACTTTTGCTTAGGTAAAGCAAGAGGCCCAAGCATAGCTATAAGTTAGATACCTCTGCTGTTTACTCTGCCCATGCAAATTTCCATTCCAATTCTGGTCATAGGAATGACTGGCAAAGGACATCCTGAAAAGCAGCACTGTTATAACCTTCACATGCATAAAGGGCACCCACCACGCACAGGCCCAGATTCAAGTTGTTCAGTAAAGACCTAGTGACCCCCACGTGCAATTACAATATCTAGCTGGTAGTTTTATAATGATTTTACAGGCAGATCATGCTTGAATATGTAAGTACCCAAGATGTATAGAGCACATTTTAATCTTTTTTCCCCCCACAATAACTAGCCCTTTTATGGAGCTAGTTGAAAATAAGAACTGGGGGGGCTGGGGATGTGGCTCAAGAGGTAGCACGCTCGCCTGACGTGCGTGCGGCCCGGGTTTGATCCTCAGCACCACATTCAAAACAAAGATGTTGTGTCCACCGAAAGCTGGAAAATAAATATTGAGAAGAAAAATTCTCTCTCTCTTAAAAAAAAAAAAAAGAAAAAAGAAAGAAAGAAAATAAGAACTGGTGGACAAGAGAGCCTCCCAGTGGTTGCTGAGAGAGCAGCACATTAGGTGCAGGTCTTTATGACAGTTCAGTTTTCTCTGAATTCAGCCCCTTCTAAAAAGAAAACACATGTACAAAAGGATGGTCATTCTCATAGTCCTTATTTTTCATATTTCCATTATTATTTCATGAGAATTCATTTTCTCTCACATATTCTGCACCTTACTCAATTCCATTGGTTTTAAGGTGGTTCAAAGCTGCAGGTCTCTGCACCATTGGGACTCCTAAACCTTCCAGGCAGTTTGAGTTTCATGAGTTATTTTACACATATCAAACATCTAACCCACAAAGAACTGGATGAAGTTAACAGCCGAGTAAAGATTATCCAGGAAAGTGGTCTGTTTTCACTACAAATGGTGCTCTGCAAATATACAACTGTCCCTAGGTATTGGCCGAGGGTTGATCCCAGGACCAAATCTAATCAGATACCACAATTTGCAGATGTTCAAACACCTTATATAAAACCTTTGCACATCCTTCCACATACTTTAAATAATCACTGGATTACTTACAATATGAGAAGAGGTCATTTACTTAGCATTACAATGTAAATGCTAAGTAAATAATAACTGTTATACCATCCTGTTTAAGGAATAATGACAAAAAATAAAGACACAATTTTCCCCAAAATATTTCTGATTCAAAACTGACAAATCAGAGGCAGAGCCCACAAATATGGAGAGCAGTCTATATGCTATTTAAAAACAGGAAAAAAAATCCACTTTTAAGAGTATGTTTACTGTCTGAAGGTTATAAGACTGACAGTTCAGATTTGGCAATGTTCTCTAACTCGACTGTTTTAAAAAACAAATGGTTATTCAACATTAAATATTCTTAAGGAACCTCTTCTCATCTTCCAAAACTTGGCACTCTGAAGTATCCTAAGAATGAACCTCCTCACAGGGTACAACTTTCTTATGAAATAAGTAGCAATGAGACAACACTGGCAATCTCTCAACCTTTACTGATCAGCCTGTTCTATGCTGACACTCATTTACCCCACTAGCCCTGCTGTGTCAGTGGAAGAGAATTCTGTCTTACCAGTGAAACCAACTCTTCTGTTAGTGCAGTTGACCCCATCCCACTTCTGTAGAACACTGTTCCCACAAGTACCTTTTGAAGACTTCGTCTCTACCAGAGGTTTTCCCCCAATATAAATGTGTTTACACTCTTTCCTCTCCACAATATTTCCTCTCTGTTCATGCATCATGCCCATGCCAGATCCTCACCTCCCATTCTCTCCCACTTTCCTCTACCCACTGCTGCCATCATTCTAAGAAACTACTCTTAAGGATCAGTGCTTTCAAACTTGCTAACCAGAGCCTTTTATGCCAAACCTCAACACCCCAAAAGTCTTCCTAATATTGGACAAAGGCACTGTCATTTGCCTAGTGTAGGGCCAAAAACCTACAATTTGAGTTATCTTACTCCACTGTTAGCAACTCCTGTAGTCTCTACCTCCACTGGTGGTCTAGAAGCTTTCTATCCTGACCTGCCATTTGTCATCGCTCACGTGCATGACTCTGCTGCCTCCTACCGCTCCTCTCTGACCTTCAACTACCTCTACTCTACCCAAAGCAGTCAGGAAAAGCTCTTGCATTAGGAACACTTCACTCTCCTATCACAATCTACCAAAGTTACCTGTTAGCCTGAATTTAAACTTCTTTTGGAAGCCAGCAAGCTATAAAGAAGGCCCTGGGAAACTGCCAGTGTAAGTTCATCTCTTCCTAGTTCTTCCCCTTATTCCTCACTCTCACCACCCGCTGCCCTACTATTCCTTGAGCACATAAAACATGTTACTGCCTCACAGCCTTGGCACTTGCCCTGCTGCAATCCCTGACCTTTTTGGCTTCCTTGCTTCAAGTCAGGTTGCTGATCAAATATCACCTCTCCAATGAGGCCCTTTCTAATCATTCCACCTGAAACAGAAACCTCTCTAATTATTCTTCTTCTTGGCATTTGCCACTACGGGTAATATTCCTAAACCTGAAAAAATACTTGAAGTCTTCCTCACCAGAATATAAGCTCATAAGGACAAGAACTTTGTCCAATCTGTTCCCCTTTGCCCCAGCACTAGAATAACAGTACAAAGTAGATACCAGAGAGTACATGTATAACTTCATTTTAACCACATCCTCACCTATCTAGCTTCTCTTCGTCACTCTCCCCTGGTTTTCCTCATATTGCTATAGCCACTCTTCTGGAGACTTGCACCTTAAATGTTGATGGTAGATCTGTGGGGACTTTCTGTCCACTTTTCATTGTATATATTCTCTGCATTTGAACAGCCACTTTTAATTCCTTACCTCTAATTTGGATTCATGTTCCAATCCTGGATATCCTACTAATGACTACATATTGCCACTCTGCTATCTCATAGGGACATCAAACTTATCTAAAATGAACTACCATTCTTCAAACCTATCTCTCTCCTTCCTGCATTACCTACTTCTACATATAGAAGAGACCTCTGAGCAGTTTCTATTGAAGCACACAGCAAAACCCCTGCATTACCTACTTCTACATATAGAAAAGACCTCTGAGCAGTTTCTATTGAAGCACACAGCACAACCCTCTTCTCTAAATTCTAATTGGATGCTAAATGATAGAAGTGTCAGGCCACATAATTGACTTTCCACTATGCATTTGTAGGGAGTCAACCACCTGAATAGCAGTTACTCAAACTGATGAAGTCCTACCTTTGAAATTCTATATGGATGAAGCAAAGGTAAGAACAAAGCTATAGCTTAGCAGGCTAACAAAGCCTAAGAACCACTGGTACTACCATTCTGGACAACTTTGTGAGCAGACACTTAATTCAATAGGATGGATTAACACCCATTACCCAAGGAACAGAGAACTGAGGGCAATAATTCTCAATCATGACACACGCTGGAATTGTCTGCGGAATACAGCCTAGGATATGGCTCAGACCTGCACTGAATCAGTCTCTGTGCACCACATGGTTTTGTTATTGCTCCCCATAGCATGCCCTGTAGGTATTGTGCATACTGCATGTGCTGTAGGCACTGAGGTGTCGAGGGGATCTCTTCTATTACCTTTAATAATAATTATTTTGTTATAAAAAATGCAATGACATCATTTTAAACCATCATGATTACTAAAGTCAACTATGTGTTATTTACTTTCCTTTGATAAGTTCCTCTTAATAAAGTTCTGATGATAAATTTCAGGGTCCTACTTTTATTTGTAAAACAAGACATTACCCTATTTACAAGACCAATTTCTAAACATGCTTAATAAATAAGAAATATCTTACCAACGTTACTATTGCACATTCAGCTGTTAGTTGTGCAGCACTAAAAAGAGTACGAACAAATCTGTAAATAAATTTGTGTTCAGGGTCATGCTTAAAGTATTCCTCTGGAACCTTTTCTCGCTGAAAGAAGAAAAGATGCAATGTAAGTTATCTGCTGATGAAAACTACTCTTGAAAAGTACTTTTAAGATAGCAGCCTTCACATTGTGCCAATGTGTACCTTAAATAATTTTGAGTAGCATTTCTTTTAGTCTTTCAAACATAAACAGTGGGATCTTACAGTCATAAAGTGTTTAACACCTTTGTCAATGACAAACTGCATACTGGGATTAACAGGTCCCATAAGGTATAACCTAGTGACACTGCAGCCAAGTTAAGTCTGTGTGAATCCATTCTGATGTTCATACAACGATGAAATTAAGCTTTCTCAGAATATATCCCATTGTTAAACAACACATGACTGGACAAATTATTCAATACCCATCACTGTTTATTAAATTTTTAAAAAAGGGGGCACAAATTCAAGCTCAGAAAACTGATGTTCCTTTTTACTTTCCCTCCACAGAATTCTATCAAAACCTATTTCTAGTCTGAAAAGTTTCGTTGATTATGTTATATTTCTCTGCAATAAACTTTGGAAAGACTTTAGTATGCTGTAACCACAGGTTCCAAAGTCTCACTGTCCAAAACAATAGTCACCAGTCACAGTGACTGTTGAAGACTCAAAAGTGGCTGAGTTTTCTAATTTAAGTTTTGTGAGCAGACACAATAATTCAACAGGATGGATTAACACCCATTGCCCAAGGAACAGAGAACTGAGGGCAATAATTCTCAATCATGACACACACTGGAATTGTCTGCGGAATACAGCCTAGGATATGGCTCAGACCTGCACTGAATCAGTCTCTGTGCACCACATGGTTTTATTATTGCTCCCCCATCAGCATGCCCTGTAGATATGTGTACATACTGCATGTGCTGTAGGCACTGAGGTGTCTAGGGGGATCTCTTCTATTACCTTTAATAATAATTCTTTTGTTAAGAGAAATGCAGTGGCATCATTTTAAACCATCATGATTACTAAATTAGAGTTTAAGTTTTCTAATTCTCTTCAGAGATTTTACACATTTGTTGGGTTTATTTACAAATATTTATATTGTTTGATGCTACTGAAAAGTATCTTTTAGCAAAGCTACATTTTCTCTTATTGGGTGGTACATATACTCACCTTAGCTTATTAAACAAAGCTACAAGTCAGTTCTTACTTTATTATAGACCTGATAAAACACTTTTTCTAAGACAATTGTATACGGCATGAGGTGGGAAGGAAGATGATTTTGATTTCAAGCTGAAGGGAGTGATTTTCTTCTAGTAATTAATCTCAAAGCAAAGCAGCACAAAATAAACAATCCTTTGAGAGGAAATAGTTAAAAAAAAAAGTGATACTTACTGTGAGTGGATGTGATCTCTCATCAAATATATCCAGGGATCTATTTGCATCTCTATAAAATAAGAATGTACATTTAAAAATTTATTCAGGAATTGTTAATATCTTCCTAAAATATCTGCTAAGAATAAAGAAGGGGTTGGAAGGAGCAGCTTAACCTTCAACAAAGCAAATAGTTTGACAAATTCTTTTCCTGGATTCTAGTGTTAGGACCTCTTTTTACTCAGCAAATGAAGTACTGTAAAGCCTTTTCTACAATAACCAGGTAGAGCTGCACAAACAGGCAATGCCAATTAATCAAATATATTTTCACTTCTCTTACAAAGCAGTAGTGGTGGGAAATCAAGTCTTGAGAACTTTAATGAACATAAATGGATTCAGATTTTCTAGATTTTTTTTCCTCTTTAGTTTTCTATTATGTTATTACCATATATTTCTAGTTTCTTCTAGTTTGAGTTTAAAAGTTATTGGCTGTCTTTTTATTTTAAGACATCAATCTTTTCATTTTAAAACTAAACAATACACTGTTCAAACTAGTGGTTCTCTGTGGTCTGTGAAACTCTGGAGATTCCCTTGGTACTTTCAGGAGGCCCATGAGGTCAAAACTGTTCTTATAAGAACATTAAGACATTACTTGCATTTTCACTGCTGAACACTTGCAATGACTATAAAAACAAAAGTGAGTAAAACTACTGATTTCTCAGTATGAATGATACTAAGAGTCATTCTATTCTCCACTGCCACTTGCAGTTAAAAAATAATAATCCTGCTTTACAAAGCATGTTCTAGATGAAACAATAAAAAATAATGTCACTAAATCTTGACCTTCTTTTTAATATTCTGAATAAGTTGAAAGTTCACCTAAAGCTTCTGCACACTGAAATAATAATTGTGTTAAGAAAAAGCACTTGTGATTTAGCTGTGAGCTGAACAAACTGCTTATCATAGAATACTATTTTTATTTGAAAAGATAAAATATTCTCAAAAATGAAGAATGAGGCAGGCATGGTGGCCCGCACACCTGTAAACCCAGCAGCTCAGGAGGCTGAGGCAGGAGGATTGCAAGTTCAAAGCCAGCTTCAGCAAAAGCAGGGTGCTAAGTAACTCAGTGAGACCCTGTCTCTAAATAAAATACAAAATAGGGCTGGGGATGTGGCTCAGTGGTTGAGTGCCCCTGAGGTTCAATCACTGATTACCAGCACCCCCCCCCCCCCCCCCAAAAAAAAAGAATAGTGAGCCTGTCACTTCAAGGAAAATAACAAGTATTCACTGCAAGGATAAAATTTGGGCTGTCAAGGTGAGATCAAGATTTTTGAAAACCTGTACCTTCTGCTATAGACTTGACAGTTTCTCAATCCCTTGAGACTTTTTGATAAGATTGGAGGCAATACTAATGAAAGTGAGTCTTCAATACTATGAAGAAATGTGAACTAACACTTTCCAAATGACCATCACGATATTATAAAATCATGCACTGGTCAAAGATTTATTCCTTCTGCAAGATACATCAATGAATACTAATATAACATGTTCATTGATACAAATCAAAATTTCATTGTAACTAATTTAAGAAACTAACCTTTTATAATGTTTTAGTGTAATGTTAAAGGGTATCCACAATTATCTGAAAGTTTTAAAAAATACAACTTTTTCCAAAATTAATATCTGCATGAGACTAAGTTATCTCATTGTTTCTTCAAAACAAATTGCAAACAAAGTCAGAGAAAGGCGAGAATCTAGTTGTCTTCTATTAGGCTAAATATTAAAGAGATTTGCCAAAGTGTAAATTATATCACACTTTTCACTCAACTGAAAAAGTGAAGAAAAACTTAAAATTATAGAGAATAACTATTTTTCATGATAAAAGTTAATAAGGTAGTTCTTTTTTTAATATATATATATATATTTTATATATATAATATATATTTAATAATTATATATATATTTTTTAATATTATATATTATATATATTTTAGTTGTAATTGGACATAATACCTTTATTTTTTAATTTATTTTTATGTGGTGCTGAGGACTGAACGCAGCGCCTCATACGTGCTAGGCAAGCTGCTCTACGGCTGAGCCCCAGCCCCAGTCCCAATAAGGTGGTTCTTAATCAGAGATGATTTTGTCCCTCAGGGATAATTTTTAGTTGTCACAATGTGTGTGGGGGATGCTACTGGTATCTAGTGGGCAGAAGACAATGATGCTGTTAAATATCCTACAATGCACAGCACAGCCTCCACAATAGGGAATTATCTAGCTCAAAATATCAACAGTATCAAGGTTAAGAAACCCTGTATTATTGTATATATAAATATATTTAATTCTCAACTTAAATTTCTAAAACAGTAAATGTCAACATAATTCACAGAAATAGATACTCTGGAATTTTAAGAGAGTTCTGAGAACAAAAAGAACAAAACTCCAAATGATACATCTCAAAATTGTAATAAAAGCACTCTACAGCTTATAATGTTTTATAGTTATGACCTATTAACTATATATCATGCAAAGTAATTAGCTAGAATAATAAAACAGGTTTTTAAAGAGCTCACCTGTTCTTTATGTGGTAATATATTGCTAAGGTCACACTGAAAAGGAAAAAAAAATATTTTAACAACTTATCTGTTATAGCTGACATTTTTTTAAAAAAAAAAAAAAGGTGTAGGGGACCTTCCAATCAGCCCTGAAATCCTCCAGTTCAGAACAGTACCATTGGGCATTTTACCCCTTATTTAATTCTGTTGATTATTACATACAAATTATTAAATATCTTCCCTGTTATTTGCCCGTCTACCCACAGAACCTTTCATCCCATACGAGTTGTATTTGTCCACATGCTTAAGTTTAAGCCATAGCTTTTTTTCCCCCCTGAAGTTAGGCCCAGCATTTCAACTGATTTAGTTACCTTACCCATCTACCCACCATTTTTTATTACCCTAAAAGTAAAAAAGTGAAAGTGCTATACACCAGATAAAATTACTTTTACATTACTAGTAGAAAATTAGTAAGTGCTCACAAAAGATGAAAATAGGTCTAGCCCATCCTGAATAAGCAGTGCTGACAATGTAGCATAATACTAAACAGTATAATATTAATGGCAGATATTTCCAAACTGGAGTAAGTGAAATATTAATAAACAGACAACTCTTTACACATTATGTTACTGTATTCTTAAGTTATCCAAAGATTCTTTGTGTTAGGGAAAAAAGGGTTCTCTTAGGTAAATTTTGATTCCATTTGCTCTGTCTAAAATGAAGCTCAAAATGAGGGAAGGCAAATCTGAATTTTAAAAGCAGGTGTATACACTATTTTAAATTTTAAATTAAAAAAATCAATATTACTGGCATCAAAGATGGATACTTCTATAGTGCTTCAAACAGTTTTATTTCCAAAATTGATTTTAAAATCACAGAATTTGATGTTATATGCTGAAAAAGGACCACTAAACCTTATATGGCATTTTCATCCAACAACACATTATACAAATAAAGGGGATGAAGGCTTAAATATGACTTGCCCAAAGTCCCACCGAACAATCAGAAACAGTTTTCTATACTCTTTAATAAGCAGTGGCTCCCAAACTTCGCTGCACATTGGAATTGCCTGAGGAGGTTTAAACAGAACTGACCTCTTGAGACAGTCCAATTAACTGGGCATTAAGAATGATTTTAAAGTTCCCTAGGTAAGTGCAATGTGCAGCAAAATTTGAGATTGACATAGGGTTGAGATCAGAATCACCTGAATGTTTTGTGCACTTTATATCCACCACCAGTTTCCTAAAAGGCTTGTGAGCGTCTATGGATGAAGGGGAAAAGGAAGGTGGGAAAATGCATGTTTGTAGAAATGTATTCTGAAAAAAAGTCGCATAGGTGATTCTAAGAAGGCTTAGAATTCCCCTAAGAACATTCCCTTAAGAACAATGCACAGAATTTTCCTAAAAGTCAATTTGCCCTATTAATTCTCTCAATAAATCTTTCTTTCACCAATAGTGAATGTACTGAATGATTATTTTTAGAATTTAATGAAAGAAACTAAAACTTACTGTACTTCCCAACACAAGACTTCTAAACAACAAACTCAGTTAAGAGATCAAAAAGCATGAAACCTACATGTGTTAGCAAGGTTACTCTTTAAAATTATATTCTGAATTATACACTGAAACATCAGAATCTTTTGAATTCAAAAGAAGCCGAGGGTTCTAGCCAAAGTAGAGTGGTTTTTTAATCATGGCTATTTAGGGCTGAAAACAAACATTCAGTGATTACTCAAAAGATGCCAAATCTCAGAAAGGGCTTAGTTTTTGCTGAAACACAATTCAATCTCAACTACTGTTATACGTGTGAGAGGAAAGTTACATTACTGTGTGAACTTGCAGTTTTCAACTGAAGTAGAAGTTACTGATAATTTAATTAGCTAAGAAATTAAAAAGCTGGTATATTATAAATAAAATAAGGCTAATTAGGCTTTTTAAACTAAAAAGTAAAATTAGGGATAAGAATATTAACATTCTAAAAAAGCACTTTCCAAACTATGTTCAAAAAAATCAATACTCACATCCCAAGAAGTCATTAATAATGTTCCCTGGACAACCCCAACATCGTGGGGGAAGCTCTCTACCCGGTTTTTGTTGATGTCATTTTAATAAGTTTAAAAGGTTCATCTTGGAGTGTTTTGAAAGTGCATCTTTTATTTCAAATGCCAATATGCTTTGGTGCCAGGAGTAGACTAGATAGTCCTTCCTCCTACAGTAGTTTCCAAAGTAGTTAACAAGTATTTTAGATATGAAACTCATAACTGTTTTTTTCCAGAAACATCTGATAAAAAGCACCTCTTCTTATGTTCAATAGTGTCTTAACAACATAAATGCATCAAATAAAGAGGTACACTTTTCCTGAGATTCCTATTTGCTAACTGGCTTTCCCTTTCACCAAAATGGAAATTGAAAACTCACATTTAGGTCCTTAAAAATCAATGTATACTTGACCCCAATTTTGTAAACTGAGCACTAAAAAGGACAGTCAATAGCTGAAATTACCAAGTATGGCTGGGATGCTTTTAGCAGAAAGGGGTCTGTCACTCAGCCCTTGGCAACCTAGTTGTACTCACCATTTTATTGTGGTTCTAAGATTAGGCTGGCTGACTGTGCTGTCATCTAGAAATATTGTTGAGCATGAGCTATACTTTTTAGTAAGCTGCCCTGGAGATACCTGAAGGGGAGGGAAATAGAAGAAAATGTCACAGTAAGTTAAATCTATAAAATGTGTTTATTTTCCTTGGTTAAAATGTCAAACGATAAAGCATTAAGATATTTCTTATACTCTGTGAATTGCCTGAGTGTGATATCATGTGTGGCTCTACAGGAAACCCATGGGAGGCTCTTAACTTCACAGATGATGTTTGAGGAATGGATTATAAAATGCTGCCCTTGGTATGGTACCTATAATCAAACCTGGCAAGCATCTATTATGAATTAATCCCCTTAATAAATACTGGAAAAAGTTTAAAATAAGATTTCAGTGTTTTCCTCTTAAGCAATAAAAAGCAGTTGAGAAGGTTCTGTTTCTACTATTCAGTAACTACAATAAAATGTAATGCCTTAAATAATACCAGCACAAAAGCATTGTGCTGCACTAAATGAAAGCCTAATACCAAATTTACTCATTTGCTAGTACTAAGTGTCTAAGTGTAATTACACAAATGTTTTGGAATCAGAGGCTATGTGCCAGGGCTATTTAATCACTAACAAGGCTTGGGACCATAGGTCTGAGTCTATTCTCATATGTAGAGGGTAAAATTATTGCCTTAAGATTCTTTCACATCCAAAATCAGATGATAAAAAACAACTTTGGGAATTTAGCTTTCACTTCACTTTTAAGTAGATTGCCATTACATTACATATGAAAACCTCAGCCATTCATTCAAGATTTTATTTAGTTTATTCTCTTATTTGATCCACATCACAACACCTCCCTGCCTCATTAGTGTTACTCTCAGCCAAAAGTCTTTCTTCCTTGCCCCAGAAGCTTGACTCCTACCTTCTGGGATACCTTTGCCAACAGCCACATCACAAAATTCATCCTCCAATTCAATACTTGCAGGGAGGTTATCTCCCATATAAGAAACTAAGCTGCTCCAAAGAAAGGAGGACTCTTACTGCTCCTATCTCCAGCTGCTGAGCATAAAATTGGGGACAAGTTAGGGAGTTCAACAACTGTCTGACAAATTATTAATTAATAATCAATTACAATTTGGAAGACAAATCTTGGTACAGATACAAATTAGTGAAAATTTACCTGAAGTGATACTAAAGAGGTGACAATGAACTTTTTGAGGCCTCTAAATAAACTATCATTAAAACACTTTAGAAGTATCCATTTAATTGCAAAGGGTAAAGAGTGCAAGGATATAGAGCAATAGTCAAATACTGAAACAGCCTAAACTACGTTAAAACAATTCTCATCCTTAAAAAGCCAATACCGAATCTCATCACTGAGTAGTTGAAGATTAACAGCAGCATTCTTTAAAACCACAGATTATCAACAATTTTAATGTTTTTTTTAAAAAAAGCTAATTCAGATAAGCCTTCCTTCCTCCTATCAATATAATGGTTTTCATCATGATTTTACTTTCTCCCATCAGCAACCCCTACAAATAAATGAAAGATGGGACAGGGAGAAGACCTAGCTGAAAGTACAAAGCACTTAAAAGTCACCAGTAGTCCACAGTCAGAAATATCCATAAGGTACATAAAACTGCATTTTGCTTGTTTTAGATGTTTTTATGGCAAAGTCACTTTTTTTCCTTATTAACAAAAAGTGTATAACTATTTTGGAGGAATAAATTCTCCTTTTAACTAAAAATGTTTTAACTATATCTAAGTGTGGATATGTTTCTTAAGCTATTCAGTTAATATGTATACTGTTGAAAAAAATCACTACACTGGAATAAAAAAGAGGGACGAAAATGAATCAAAATTTAGACTACTTGGTAGAACTTTAGGTGATATTTTCTTCCATTTTCTCTATTTACAATTTTTTTTTTGTATCATGAATGTATATTGGCTTGTCTTTGAAAACATTAATGCCAAGTCATTCAAAAATTTTTAATTAGATGTGGTCTTACAAACTATGAAAGCTCCATTAATGAATCAGCAACTTACTGGCTAGATCCAACCAAAAAACATTCATCACTTCCCTTTAGTCCAGGCTTACTCTAAACTGATAAAGACAGAGGAATCATTCATTTTATAGGAAGAGTCATTTCTGTTACCTTCTCTCCCACTGTAATCAGGCCATTCCCAAATTTGAAGGTGACTAGAAAAGCTGAATGCAAAAACTCTCTGTTGCCAATATATAGCAAAGGACATACCATCACTTCCAGCTATTCAAACATTTCAATCTTGAGACTAGAGGGTGGCAGAACGAAGCCTCTAAGCAAAGCCTAGAATATAGCTGCCAACAAGTAACTTTCCCCTCAGCTTGCATGAAAAATTAGGACAACTTGCCCTTTATTGTTAAAACGTTACCACTGCTGGCTCACAACCACAAAAAACTACACTGACAAACATAAGGATATAAAATACAAATACTAAAAAAAAAAAACATTTCTGACAGATGGTTACTAAAAGAGACACAAACAATAGCATCTTTCTTCTTCCAATCAGCACAAATGATAAGGTACAGAATTTTGTAATTCTTACAGGAAAGGGAGTACTTAAGTAGACTTAAGGTCAAATGGCAAAGACTAGAAAATAATACCTACTAATCTGGTAAATCATAACCAGAACCTTACCATCAAAGGTCAAGAATTTGTTGAAATCCTGTCCCCACCCATTGACTTTTCCCATTGTGCCTATAGCCGCTTATCTATTAAAAAACAAAAACAAAAGCCTGAAATCCGCCCCCCCATATAATACATATTTGGGATATGTTCCTTTTTTTAATATTTATTTTTTAGTTTTAGGTGAACACAATATCTTTATTTCGTTTCTATGTGGTGCTGAGAATCGAACCCAGTGCCTCATGCATGCTAGGCGGAGCGCACTACCACTTGAGCCACATTCCCAGCCCCTGGGATGTGTTTTTAAGAATCAATAACATTTAATCAACCTCAAATTTTCTAACACTTTATGCATTCATGAAAACTATTCCAACTTTTGTTGCATAGTAACAAGACAATACAGCAGGATGTGTATTTGAAAGAATTCTAAAACATGGCCTTATATATGCTAATTACAGGTAAAACTTTTAAAAGTTTGGACCAATATCATTAAGCATATTGATTTTGAGCTTAGATATATACTTTAAATACAAGTTCTAAATTCATTTATTAAACATTGAAGATTGACCACACATATATACCCCTTTCCTCCTGAAATCTCATTAAAGGTATAAAATACAGGTTTATAGCTAAGACTAGGAGACAGGACAGAGAGATGATTTTTTAATGTTTGAAATATTAAAGTAGATAAAAGAATAGTAACATGACAGAAGAGTAGAAACACAACTCTGGTGGCCATGAAGAATCAATGGCAGGAATAAGCAAGCCAGTTTATCTCGCAGAACCCATAGAGACTCAGATTTCAGAGGCACAAAGCACCTTGGAATGAAACATAAAACAAAGATAAAGGAGGGTCAATTGGAAATTTGTAGTTACAACCCAAAGTCCATCTGTCCTCCATTTTATAGGGATCTAGATATTAATTCTCCAGATATATTAAACCTGACAGTTTCTGGGCTTAGAGTTACCATTCTCAGAGATACTGTGGGTAAAACCTGGAAAATAAGAGGAAAAAAATACATACTCCACACCTCCCTTTCCCAACTTCTGAAAAATAAGCAGCCATGCTTGTACTCCCTAGGCAGAGAAGTGGAAGATCCTTCTCTGAAGAAACTGAACTATCCAGAGTCAGGGCCCCCCATATAATAAAAATACTGAGGTCCCAACAAATGAAAAGCTGGGCATGGCCTCCAAATCCTTGGAGTGAAATCCATCAGTTAACAAGTCCTTCTCATACATGGTGCTTCAAACCAAACAAAGTCAGGGTCTACCACACATTTGAGGCAAGCCTCGAACAAAGGATTAAAAAAAGGAATTCATGGGAATGCTTAAAATTTAAGAGTAAGTGAAAACTCAAGACAAAAAATTCAAGAGAAGGGCCGAAGAATCTCTAACTAGGACAAAAAGACAAACCAGAAAATGGGGAGGAAATAGAAATTGGACACTGGTGTAGAAATACTGTCAAAAAGGCCCAACATCTGAATGACAAGAATACAAGGGAAAAAAAAAAAGAAAATATCAATGAAATACAAGAAAATTTTCTACAAAGAGCTAATCTGCAAACTAATGGCCCCAATAAAATAAAAAGGTTCCTAACAGCCAGGCGTGGTGGCACAAGCCTGTAATCCCAGTGGCCCAGGAGGGTGAGGCAAGAGGATTTTGAGTTCAAAGCCAGCCTCAGCAAAAGTGACTCATTAAGCAACTTAGTGAAATCCTGTCTCTAAATAAATGCAAAATAGGGCTGGGGATGTGGCTCAGTGGTTGAGTGCCCCTGAGTTCAATCCCTGGTATCAAAAATTAAAAAGGTTCATTAACAAGCCATATCATGCAACTTCAGAATCCCCCAGATAGAGAAGATACTAAAGCTTTCAGAGAAGGTATGGGGGGAAATTTAGTAATTTTAGCTGGTTATATATAATGTAGAATACAATGGCAAAAATTTATAAATGAGGAGACAATAAAGAAATACCGGGACTGGGGCCGTGGCTCAGTGGTAGAGCACTTGCCTCATACATGTGAGGCACTAGGTGCAATCCTCCTCAGCATCACGTAAAGAAATAAATGAATAAATAAAAGATATTGTGTCCATGTGCAGCTAAAAAAAAAAATTAAAAAAAAAAAAAAAGAAGTATCTTCACCACTGGAATAATTCGTTTCAACCTAGAATCCTACTTATACTTTTACCAAATAGGAGGAGCATATTTATGTGCCCTTTCCCAGGAAAATGTACAAGAGGTATAAGACGACAGAGGGAAACACAAAAATTACAGGATCCAATACAAGAGAGCAGTTATTCGAGATCCCAGATGACTTCAGAAAGATACCCCAGGAAAAATAGGCAGAGAACTGCTTAACAAAAAACCAGTCTGTTTTAGAGTAGAATGATGGAAGACTGAGAAGGGTTGCCTCCAGGAAAAAAAGACTAAACAGATGTGGTTTAGTAAAGGAAAATGTTTTTTTATAGGCATGTGACAAATGTTAAAACATTTGGGGGGAGCAGACAAGTGAAAATAGGAAATTCCACAAAAAAATTGAAGAATATGAAAGCAAAGAGGCCAGTGAGGGGGCCACTTACTACATGTGGCTGTGTGAGTTAATGTTCATTAGGAAATGGCGGATTATCACAGGAGGAATACAGAAGTGCTCAGACTTCAGAAATATCTTTTTAAGAGGAAAATTAAGGGTGAACAGGAGGTGGCACAAAGTACAATATGACAGCAGTGAAAAATACTTGCAAGTCAATGTAAATATCCATCAGTGATTTAATAATAAAATGTGATACATGTCAAGGAAATACAGCAGGGGAATAAGGTCACAGTGGAATGAGGAAGCTAAGCTTTCACCTGCTCCAAATTATAGGAAATCAACAGCTAATGCTAAAAACTGACTAATAGTTTGTTACTTTAGTTAAAAAAAAAAAAAAGACCAAAAAATTAAGGCAAAATATTTCAGGCATATCTTTATATCACAACCATGTTACTGAAATTTAACTGTCAGAAACCTTTAAAAACTGGACATTACTAAGTCAAAGATTTCCCTGAGTAAATTTAATACTTAAGAAATTGGAGAGATTTAGAAAATCCACAAAACGTGGACCCTGCTAACATTAATGAATCACCGTTATATATATTTTTTAAAAAATCACAGTAGACATACTTTTAATTCACTATAAGTTTAACTGTTTACTTACATGGTTTAAATGGTTGCTCTTCCTCTTTTCACGCACTAAGAATAAAAAAAAATTAACTGATCAATTCTGGTACAAATGTCATAGAAAAATAAAAAGTAGCTAATTATCTGATGAATTACCAATATACAAAATGACAAAGTTCAATTCTTTTTAAAAATAATTTCCAACAAAATTAATTATCTGAATTTTCTGGCAAGATAAATTTCATAATAAAATCAAAAACTTAGTTCTACTTTTTTGCTAGCAGATAATCTATTACATATAAATGAGAGACTCTCCATATACAAAAGGGGCAAAACAAATTGAGCTAGGTAGGAAATATAGCTAATAAGATAGTACACATACTGCATACCTGAACCATTAAATAGTAGTATTTTCTAGTTCTACATTTCCTTACCAATTACTTTAATTACAAGGATCTAAGAGGTGATAGCTCTAGGAAACTGTTTTTGGCTAGGCAGCCATTTCTAGATGCATCTGAATCCTAGAAATATCCTGAACCACCTATTGATAATCTACCAAAATAAAAAAATTAATGAGCCTTTATACAATTGGAAAGTAGCTTATCTTAAATTTAAATTTTTAAATGAGTGTGCTAACCTAATTGAACATGATTATCTATAGCACACTGATTTCATATGCTCTAATTAAGGCCAGAAAAGTATATGCTCCTAAGAGGGACTTGGGCCACACTTTGTTTCCCACACTGCCTCCTCCTTTAACGCTAGACGGCACTATAGTCACACATTCCTTCCCACTAAAAAGAGCAGCAGGGATAGTTTTTTACTTCCTCACACTCTAGAATACAGTTCTTAAAGAAACTGAGACATAGCAATGCTAATCAGAAATGGCCAGCTGAAGATAGGAAAAGTACACACATAGCAACCACCAATTTTTACTGTGCTACATTACCCCAAATATAATACAGAACCCTCCACTTTTTATATTCTTCTTGTTGTAATAAACTAAATCAGTTTTGCCTTTAAATTTTTTGGTTTTTTTAGTTGTACATGGACACAATGCCTTTTTTTTATGTGATGCTATGATAAAACCCATTGCCTTACACGTGCTAGGCAAGTGCTCTACCACTGAGCCACAACTCCAGCCCCTCATTTTTGCTTTTTAGCAAAAAAAGGATCTGACCAAACATTAAGAAAAACAGCACAGATGAAGAAAAATCCTACAGTTTTAATGGTTCATCCTAAAACAAGCAGGGCACATGAAATTTACACTAGTTTCAGACACTGGCTAACCTCTTGGGAAACACCATAATTCATGTTTGTTCCAGTTTTTAATACATTAGGATGAAAAAGCTTTGAATGGCTTAAAAGTTCTGAGTAGGATAAATCAAGATGTGAGACAGGCTCATTTATTTAGAGGATTGTAAAATGAGCTCAAAATCAGATTCAATCCCGATATGTAAACAACTGATTTTTTAAAATTTGTTCATATGAAAACCTAATTAAAACCTAAATCATATTATTTATCTTTAAAACATGCTCTGAGGATCAAGGGGGAAGGGTAAAAAATAATATGGAATACTACTTATAAATCAATGACCACTTCTAAATTGTGTGGCAACTGTCTTTATTAAGAGGTAACAAAGTGTATAAACACAAAGTCTACCTGTATTAATTAAAGGAGAGTATATATCATCACATATTAAAAAGTCATGTAGAATATATGTAACATTTAAAATTTTAAAGCAATGTAAGAGTTCTTCTAAATATTTTCTATGATATACCATATAAAATAGTCCTTTCTTTGGTAGGGAAAAATATTGTCTTACCATAGGGAAAAATATTGTCTTACCATCTGTCTGAGATTTGCTCAGGAAAATTGTGCTTGCCCTTGGATGGTCAGAAGGGTTTGATTCCAAAGCTAAATCTATAGAGAAAGAGAAAAGATGTGATAATTTAGTTCAATAAGAGTAGATGGTTTTTAAAATAGATACATATCAGATTTAATCACTTTCAATAGTCTTAGAAAAAATTTTAGTTATGAACATGTAGGAAACAAGCAACAATATAAAAACGCTACAGGATAACTGTAAAATCCTTGATTCTCTCCGCACATGTGGAGCAAAACCAGGTTAGGCTGGGTCTTAGACCTTTTTTAAAAAAAATAATTGAATGCAACTCTTAGATAAACCGTTTACAAGACCACCTCTTCTTGTCCTCCAGAAATGCAAGCACTCTTCTCTGTGCTGATATTACCAGCACATTTCAGGAACAGTCTCAACTAGTGATGCCCTGGCCAATTACTGTCAAACACTGGCTCAATATATCAAATATGCCAAAACAAGATTGTTTTGACAAATGTTTTTCAGACAATCACAAGGCTAATTCTAACTTCTTTCAACAAGTAAATTAATCTAGTTAGCTTTGGCTTATTTGTGGGCTATTCCTCATGGCAGATATAAGAGGACTGCATAAAAATTCAATGTCCTAACCTACAAAAACACTTCCATGAAAAAAACTGATTAAAAAACAAAAACAGAAACTTCTGTCCTTAATTTCCAAGACAACACTCTTCTCTCTTCATTCTTAATCCCTACAGTCCACATTGGGATCAAGATGTGATAATCTATTTAGTCAAAACTATAGACAGATTCATAAATTTTGTTTATAACTTTGCCATCATGGGACAACAAAAGTTGTCAGAATGTGGGAACCTACAACACTCCTCAGCACTGTCCATTCTCAACCCATTTAAGAAGATGGACCAAGATCTAAACAGAGTAACAGTAAGGCAATTATTTCCCAAACCATATTTTAGTAATTGTCCTACTTTAAAAGAAAAAAAAGAGAAGGATTCAAAGTCCAAATCTCAAAACACTACCATCCAAGGCTCTTACAAAATCAACATGTATACTGATATATTACTCAGTATATTTCACAAATTTGTCTACTTAAAATACTTTCTCCCCCTCCAAGTAATATCGTTAGAATCTTGCATGAACATAATTTGGGACTTCCTGATTTAATAGAAATCCAATTCATCCATTTTAATGGTACTGTCAAGATCATCAGAAACTTAGATATTTAAGCCAATCACTCTGTCCTTCATGGAAATTTATTCACATAAGTTTATTAAACTGCTTTTGAAGAAAACTATTCTTATGTAAAAGACCCACAAAACAGTTTCACATGATGAAAGGATGATGAGACAATGTTAGCTATGTGGAAAAATAAAATCATGTGAGCACAGAATGACAAAAAGATTTTCATAGCTATCTCCCTAAAGCTTCTGAAGGGATTTGGGACTACTTCCTCCCCCAAATAAAGCAAATATATTACAATTTGAATTTAAAACATAATTTGCAGAATTATTAAAGTATCTTAAAAGTTTGCAGAAATAGCCATATTATATATTAACAACAATGTAATGATAAAACTTAATTCAAAATGTTCAATGGAAGTCTAGGGAAATTAAGTATCACAATTACAGAGGAGCAGGCTTAAAACACACACACACACACACATAAAAATCCTAAAATCAAAATATGCTACTACGAATATTAAACAACATTCAGGGAGAGGTATAAAAGAAATTACAACCCGCAGACAAAAAGCAAAATTAGCCCAAGTGACAAGCTGACAACTCTCTACCTCCCATCCTAGGTTTTAAGGTGGGCGCAAGACCCTGGGCTAGACAATTAATTAGAGCTCACTTGAGACTTACCAAGTTCTAGAGGAAAACGGCAAAGCTATTCTCTAGAACCATTAACTAGCCTAGTCAGCAGCTGTTGCTGGCTAACTTTGCAATCCTGAGAAATAAAGCCTTTTCAGGTGAGATGAACAGCAGGGGAAGAACTGAGATAGGTTCTGAGATCATGTAATTCCCGAGACAGGTTGTACCTAATCTCTGAAATTCTTGTTATACAAGTCTATTTAGATATAGATTTTAACTTGCAAATGTAAAAGACCTGCTTAATCATCGGTATTAATGAACATACCAAAGGTGGCGATGGATTAAATTATCACTTGCTCATTTAATGAATCTTATTAAACAGAAATTTGCAAAAGCCAAATTTAAAAATTATCAATACTCTTATAACCATTACTTTTAGTTGCTTTTCTTATTATTTTATTATTATTATTTTCTTATTATTTTTTTTAAAAAATAATTATTATTATTTTCTTATTATGTTTAAAAAACTGCTCTTGAGGTTGTGGCTCAGTGATAGAGGACCCTGGGGTTCAATCCCCAGTATGGTAGAGACAGCTCCCAGGCTGGGATATAGCTCAGTGGTAAAGTATTTGTCTAGCATGTCTGAGGCCCTCGGCACTACAAACAAATGAACAACAAAAAGACAGAAAATCCTCTTATCAGTATACCATTTATGTCTTATTACATGAAAATGATTTCTACCCCCCTCTTACAGTATATTTACTATTTAATGCATACATACATAATGATGCAGCCAAGTGTCATTCCTATACTTAATCTATTCCGGGGGAATTTAGGCACTTATAACATTCTATTCTAATATTATGAAGAAAATCTCCAAGTGCATAGTTTTTAAATTATTCTTTTTATTTCCTTGGAAAGACTTATAAAAGTGGGATGACTAGAAAAGCTTGGATCATTTTCATGGTTCAATATGTACAGTGCTAAAACTGCTTTCTAAAAGAAGAGCACAAGCTAACAATTATAACAATAAACAGTTTTAATTCCTACCCCAGTTTTGGATACCTAAAAAAGAAAAAAGTCCTGTTATGTGAATGAGGCACATTACCGTGACTCTAACTGACTATTCTCTAGTGGTTAACAGTGGTATTTCCATTTTGGTGAGTTTCATATATTTATATATACTGTAGGCACTGTATCCACTAGGGCCTTAGGGTTGTCAATTTATGCAAGATCTTCAGAAAATACTGATTTTTGTCTTTAGCCCATCATAGTTTTCTATATAACTTGCATTTCTGATAATGCTAAGTACCAGATGTTGGTATTACATGTATAGAATGGACATTTAAGCCATTAGATAGTAAACTCATATACATACTATTATTTCTGCAATCTCCATTAAATCTACTGCCAAGAGCCTAAGGAGACTCTGATAAATCACACTACACTATTTCCACTATCACAAAGGTAAAACTGCCCACTATGAAGCAAGGCATCAGGTCCCACAAACATGCACACAGCATACATAAATTTAGAGATGTCAGGAAATAAAAATACATGAATTGCCATGCATCTTATGATGTGAATCCCTTTAAAATCATTTAAGAAACCAGTAAAAATGTTTTAAATTAAGAAAAATATTCTTTTATCTCAATGATTAGGGGTGTTGTGATTAAAATTGTAAGACAGACTTTGTATTATCAATTTAAATTGTAATTTAATTGGCAGTATGACAGGCTGACATTGAAAAAGCACAACTTAAAAAAATTAAACTGCAGTCTTAATGTAAACATCTTTGATATCAAAAACTGCTTTTTCAGGCTGGGGATATGGCTCAAGCGGTGGCACGCTCGCCTGGCATGCACGGGGCGCTGGGTTCGATCCTCAGCACCACATAAAAATAAAGATGTTGTGTCCACCGAAAACTAAAAAATAAGTATTAAAAAAACTGCTTTTCTCTAGTCTATCAGTTGTTATGACCCACTCTGACTGCACAGATATTAAAAAATGTGAAAAGCATATGCGACTAACTGAAATACATTACTAAAGGCTGAAAAGTATTGAAGTAACCATAAACTGTCATGAAATTATTTCCTAGCCAGGTGTGGGGGCACATGCCTGTAATCCCAGCGGCTTGGGAGGCTGAAACAGGAGAATATCGAGGTTCAAAGCTAGCCTCAGTTAACTGTGAGGCACTAAGCAACTGAGATCCTGTCTCTAAATAAACCACAAAAATAGGGCTTGGGATGTGGCTTAGTGGTCAAGTGCCCCTGAGTTCAATCCCCAGTATCAAAAAAAAAAAGTTATTTCCTTGTCAAAATATTCAAGGGAGAGGGTAATGACCAAGAAACTATTGGAACTTGCTGCATCACAGTATACTTCAGAAATATACTGATTTTAACATTGATTTCAATATATCCTAATTAAATAGATGTCAGCAGTTTCGGGGCCAACTTCTGGGCATCTATTTATTGAAAGGCTCAATACATTTACTGACCTGTTCGATTTTCCCTTACTGTACATTATAAGAATACACAAATGTTTCAAGTGCCATAATCACCATGCAAACTTAATGATTTTATCTCTGAGTCCACATTTTCTACCATCAGGTAATTCTCCACCTGGCAGCCTTGAGCTGGCCTGCCTCAGCAGACGGCAACAGCAGAGCTCCTACATGCTGACAGTGCTGGCTCCTATCTGGTTTCTCTTTTCTAGCCTCTGGTGGTACTAATTCTGGCTTCCAATTCATTTCTGGACCTGCATATCCATCAGTTCTCAGTCTTGCCCTGTTTTAATTTTCCATCTATGTTTTAGTGAAAATGACTGAAATGTGACATTTCAGACACAGTAATATACCTTTCCTCCATTATATTTTTCTTAAGAGCACTTTACTCAATTTCTTAGACTTCTAAGAACATTCCTAGGTTACAAGATACTACCTTCCATTTCATTGTATAATATCCAATGCTACTGTTTAAACAGTAAGACTTAATTATTTTAATATTCTGGGGGGCAGGGAAGGTAGCATCCAAAGAAGCCTGAGTCAGTCTATAAATTATTTTGCTATATGCCACATATCTGGAATTTACATTCTTGAACTACCAAGTTTTATTTTTCAAAACCTTGGAAAATTTAATTTATACTTTTCAGAGGCTATCTTCTCATATGTAAAACAGTTTTAATTGCTATACTGGCTAACCTAAAACACTGAGAATCAAATGAAATGCAAGATGAGTCTTTACAGTGTATATTAC